AACTTTTTTTCTGGAGCACGTCTCTAAACTTAAACAAAACTCAGCGAATACTATTCACCCAGACATGAGCAATATATGTTTATGATCATTTAAGTTTGTACTTTTAAATGATCTAATTTAAAACTAAAATAAATATTCTCTGTTTATGTAATCTATATAAAAAGAGAGAGGTGTCAGCCGTTCTCATTATCGTTCTCGCATCTCATTATTCTGCTAATGTGACACGCCCACGGAGAGCGCGAGCTATTCAAACGCTAATGATCTGAAGCAACACATTGAGACGTGTAAACGCCCACATAAACTCGGTAAACACACTATATTTAGTCAGATTAATGTACTGTCGTCTTTCACGGCTGTGAGGAATAATCCTGGGAGGTTTACCTACCTCAGAACAAGTGCTGGTTTATTTTCACTTCGAGGAGCGAGCTGAGCTGTAAGTGTTTTTATTCTTGTGCTTTGTTCTAATCACGATATAGAATAACGTTAGTGTCTGTAAACGCAAAAATAGCCTACTGTTTAAATTTGTATCATGTTTCTGTGTGTGTGTGTGTGTGTGTGTGTATGTGTGTGTGTGTGTGTGTGTGTGTGTGTGTGTGTGTGTGTGACTAGTTTTGGATAGATTATAAAGTTTTAACTCTAAAATAGACATCAAATAAGCTTTTGTTAGCAGTTTCTGCTCATATGTTAAATATATAGTATGTTTTGTCAATAAACTAATCAACTAAGATTAGTGTTTGTTCCAATGCAAGCTATATCAAAATAATGAATCCTTAACTTTGAAATATGTATGATAAAATGTATTGGCCTACTAAGACATTTATGGAAAAAGACAATTTTCTTTTCAAGATGTTTCCAACTCTAACTTTGAACCAATTCTGTAGAATGGCCCATATAACCTATTTGAACAGGATTTGTTTCCAGGTATGACTAAAAATGTGCTTTTGACTTTCATTTATATTTTGATTTTATATATATATATATATACACTCACCGGCCACTTTATTAGGTACCCCATGCTAGTAACGGGTTGGACCCCCTTTTGCCTTCAGAACTGCCTCAATTCTTCGTGGCATAGATTCAACAAGGTGCTGGAAGCATTCCTCAGGGAGTTTGGTCCATATTGACATGATGGCATCACACAGTTGCCGCAGATTTGTCGGCTGCACATCCATGATGCGAATCTCCCGTTCCACCACATCCCAAAGATGCTCTATTGCAGGGGTCTCAAACTCAACTTAACTGGGGGCCGCTGGAGGTAGAGTCTGGGTCAGGCTGGGCCGCATCAAGTATTCCACAAAAAATAGTATTCAAGTATTCCAAAAAAGGAGCACAACTGATCCAATCTTCTCAATCTTTATTATTAACGTTTCTTCTGAACTGTTCCTCTGAATTTGAACATTCCTTTCTGTACATGATTGGTTCTTCATGAGCTGTCCTTCTGACAGTTGAAGTTCATTTTACAAACTTCCTTTGTCTATAACACATATTTGTAATATTTATATTTGCTTATGTCCTTTTTATTTTCTTTATACAACACATTAATGATATTGAATGTTTTTTTTGGAAGGCACATTTCCTTTTATTATATACTTAGAAAAACAATTATTGCTTTTGAAATACAAATATTTGCAGTCATGTCTGCCCGTCTTATTGAATTCTTTCTACACATGTATAGTGTCTCAGGCAAATTACTGACTGCACAAATCGAAGCAAACCTTCTTATCAACCTGTTAGACACATTTTACAAGCTCAAAATGATTATTCTCACATTGTTTTAAAGCAGGGTCTCTCTCCAACACGTCGCTCGCGAGCTACCAGTAGCTCGCGGCCTGATTGGTGGTAGCTCGACAAGGGGCAGTTCACATATCGCGCTCACATATTTTGCGAGCTCAAGTTCGTTATTTCAAATGTAGGTGCGCGTGCGCGGCAAGCGCGCTCATAATTGAAGCGACGCGCTCATTTTTTCCAGGCGCGCAGTATGTTTGTACTTAGCGGTTGTCTATGGCAACTATTGAAAACAAACCCACCGTATGGTAGCCCATTTAAAACGCGGCACACGCAACGACGGGCCGCACTAACATTACACTTTAATGTCAAGTATGGGGCCACAAAATATCACCCCGCGGGCCGCAAATGGCCCGCGGGCCGCGAGTTTGAGACCCCTGCTCTATTGGGTTGAGATCTGGTGACTGTGGAGGCCATTTTAGTACAGTGAACTCATTGTCATGTTCAAGAAACCAATTTGAAATGATTAGAGCTTTGTGACATGGTGGAAGTAGCCATCAGAGGATGGGTACATGGTGGCCATAAAGGGATGGACATGGTCAGAAACAATGCTCAGGTAGGCCGTGGCATTTAAACGATGCCCAATTGGCACTAAGGGGCCTAAAATGTGCCAGGAAAACATCCCCCACACCATTACACCACCACCACCAGCCTGCACAGTGGTAACAAGGCATGATGGTTCCATGTTCTCATTCTGTTTACGCCAAATTCTGACTCTAACATCTGAATGTCTCAACAGAAATCGAGACTCATCAGACCAGGCAACATTTTTCCAGTCTTCAACTGTTCAATTTTGGTGAGCTCTTGCAAATTGTAGCCTCTTTTTCCTATTTGTAGTGGAGATGAGTGGTACCCGGTGGAGTCTTCTGCTGTTGTAGCCCATCCGCCTCAAGGTTGTGCGTGTTGTGGCTTCACAAATGCTTTGCTGCATACCTCGGTTGTAACGAGTGGTTATTTCAGTCACTGTTGCCCTTCTATCAGCTCGAACCAGTCTGGCCATTCTCCTCTGACCTCTGGCATCAACAAGGCATTTCCGCCCACAGAACTGCCGCTCACTGGATGTTTTTTCTTTTTCGGACCATTCTCTGTAAACCCTGTAGAGATGGTTGTGCGTGAAAATCCCAGTAGATTAGCAGTTTCTGAAATACTCAGACCAGCCCTTCTGGCACCAACAATCATGCCACGTTCAAAGTCACTCAAATCAACTTTCTTCCCCATACTGATGCTTGGTTTGAACTGCAGGAGATTGTCTTGACCATGTCTACATGCCTAAATGCACTGAGTTGCCGCCATGTGATTGGCTGCTTAGAAATTAAGTGTTAACGAGCAGTTGGACAGGTGTACCTAATAAAGTGGCCGGTGAGTGTATGTGTATATGTATGTATGTGTGTGTGTGTGTGTGTGTGTGTGTGTGTGTGTATTGTCCTTGCATTGTTTCTTGTGTGACACACCTCAATGAAAGGCTCATTAATATGCGGGGTCTTTGTCTTCTCAACCACCTAATTATTCACAATGGGGTTGAGCCGTTCCGCCCATTCGCATATTGCCTTGGCTAACAAAAAATGTTTTTCACAATTTAAAAGAATCTATTGTGTTATGTGAATGATTAGACAGGATGATTTTCAGATCATTTTGAAGCAAAAACTCTAGGCCACAACTTCCATTAGTCAAAAGTCTTGTGGACACATATTTAGTATGTGTTTTGTGGCTTTATTTCAGAAACTTTAATTTTTATTTTTTTCAATAACCATGCATTAACAATATTCTCTCAAAAATACAAACATGTACATACATGTTGCTCACATATTATGGTAGCCCTGTTTGTGTTAAATAGAGTGTAATTTCACTTGTGCCATTAATATGTTTATAAGCAACTGAAAAAAGCACAAATGTCAGGGCATGTCAAAACATCTCAAGGACCCCAAAAACACCTTGGTCCCCAACCTAATCTGATGCACTTACTGCCTCAGATGCGGCCGTTCAACTGACAGACAAAACATGCATGTCCAATATTCTCTGAAATTCGCTGGTCAAAAACCTTGTAACTTGTAATTTTAAGCTTGATTTTGGTAATATGTTAATAATATAATGACACATGCAAGTGTCTGACTATATATAAAGTCACAATATCAACTTTGACAATGCGGTGTTTAATTATTTTAAAAAATAGTATTTTTTTCCATGTCTTGAAAAGTAGTGTTTTTGGAGATACGAGGTTTCCTTGTACTATAGTCTTCTAGTCAAGTCAAGTCAAGTCACCTTTATTTATATAGCGCTTTTTTTAATTCAGATTGTATCAAAGCAGCTTCACAGTGATAACATGAAAATAATACAACAAAGTTTGTTTCTAGAAGAAAATTGCGTCAACGTCCACCTGAAATAAGGCAGATCAATAATATTGTTGAATATTAAATGTCCCCAACTAAGCAAGCCAAAAGCCAAGGCAACAGTGGCAAGGAACCAAAACTCCATCAGGTGACAGAATGGAGAAAAAACCTTGGGAGAAACCAGACTCAGTCGGAGGGCCAGTTCTCCTCTGGCCAACGAAGGAACAGTGTATGATTCGGGCAGCATTACAAGTCAGATTGAGGTTTCTGATTAATATTCTACTAGTTTGAAAGCAATTATTTCAACTGAAAATATGAAAACAATGGGAACAAAATAGGAACAAATAGCAGTCAACAATGGTGATGAGCATTCCATCATGAACATACATTTAGACAAAAATAATAAAAAAATACTGTTGGCACAATGGGGCACAAGTCCTAAAACAAAAGCAACAACAGTAAAAAAAAAAAAGAGCCAGTCAGTCAGTCAGTCAATCAATCAATCACATTGCAGTGCATGCTGGAAACCATAGTGCCAGCACATTACCCCCGACATCATATTACTGCTTTTAATCTGTAATTTTGCAGGTACATACAGATCATTATGATTTTATAGAACAATGCTGCTGCTAATTATTTACTGAAAGTATGGGATAGAGAGAGAGATGGTATAAGCACTTTGAATTCTGCACTGTGATTGATGGATTGATATCAGATAAAATTGTATAGACTAAGTTCAAGGTATAGCTTTATCTTAAATTCCCAGAATAACTGCAGTTTCTAAAAGATCTACAATACAATTGCACTGTTTATCTTTAAAGTTGTAGTGTGACATGAACAACACTATACTACTGCTGATAAGATTCTCGAGAACAAAAAGCACAGTACCTGCAGAAACCACAGCCGTCTCTTCCTTTTCTTCTCCGGTTTTTCCTTTGTGTTCACTGGAAGGAGAGGAGAAAAGATCACATTAGCACAACACTGGCTCAGAGATGGCCATCTCCACCACACATTATCATCTCAGCCTCAGGGCAGCGCATGAAGTCTTGAGGGTGTCAAGCAATGGACCCAAAGCATGCTGCCATTACCTTTAATTTGTATAGAAAAACAGAAAATGATCAGGTTGCAAAGCAGGCCAAGGCACAACTACAGACCTAGAGGTTTATCAAACTATACAGGGGGAAATTCAGGTAAAGTTCAGCTAGTTTTGACAGAACAATTCCCAACAGAAATGAATGACTATTAAATGAAAGATGTTTTGAATGACAGCTTTAAAGTAGCCTGAAGGCAGAGCTGTACAGTGTGCCGGTCTAATGTTCATTAATTAGCACAGTTCTAAATAAAACAGACTGTTCATTGTAGAATTGAATTACAATGTCTAAATGTCCACGTGAAGACCTGTGCCTAGGAAGTCACCTTAAATTAAATATGAAGGAGAAGTAGGTTTGAGCTCTGGAGAGTTAATGGCAATTTAATATTCTGTTAATTATAAAGTGCACAGTCTTGTGGTCCAAAATTGAAAATATTCAAGGAAAGGTAAAAGAAAAGCTTAGTTAAAACCAACCTATAACATACATGAATATATAACTTAAATGCATTATTCATTTTATAGTATGTATAGTTATATAGTATCCATATTTATAAATGTGCGTATAAATAAACAAATGTATTTAAACGTACAAAAAGTATTTATATTTACTTTTATTAATTTAGAAAGCAACCTTATCTATAGCGATAACACAAGCAGAAACATTTGCAGGTAATTATATGTGAAATGCTACATTTAAATCTTAAAATGTATGTATCTGTTTATTTATATGTGGGACAAATTTGGACAAATACATCTGGACAAATGTTGGCAAAGCTTAACAAAAGATTTAAACTAGGTGGCCTCTAAGGGGGGCACATTAAATGTATAGTTTTAAAAGAAAAAAACTATATAAAGATAAAGATTATATATATATATATATAAAGAGAAGGAATATAATAAGAGGATATAAAACGAGGAATAAGTCGATGCATCAGAATGGTAATGCGTTTTATGTATCGCTCTACGTCGGACACAAAACAGTAATTGATATGATTAGCCTTTGGCTTGACTTATCAAACAGCTAATAATGTGTTGCTAATGTTACATGAACCATGTTCACCATCTAAAAATCATCATTCTTAGAAACGCTTTGAACATCATAGAAAGTCAGTGGAGGAAAGCCCCACACCGCACGTTGACAAGATTGGTTACTTGTTATGGTTCACTGCAGTTTTAAGGAGAAAATACTCAGGAATGGTGTTGACTGATGAATTTGCACATGATTTGTTTTAAAGCATATTAAAAACACCACATAGACATATAAAGTAAAACAATTTAAACTTGATTTTCATCACAGGGGGGGCTTCAAATAATATCTCGAAACTATGTGTATAAAATATGCTTTTTGTTTGTACAGTTTCTTTAACAACCCAGATATGCACACAATTTGCCTGATCTAAATATGCTAGAATGTGACATGTCTTACACAATATTTTACAATAATTGCATAATTTACATGACTAAAGTGCTCGCTGCTCGCAGTGTATTAAACCCCTAGATTCCCCTGCTCTCTCTCACACACACACACTCAACATTCATTCTCTTTTCATTTCTCTCTCTTTCTCTATTACGATTACATTTTATTTGCCCCCAGTTGCAGTTGACGCCACTCTTCATTATTCATCTTTCAGAAAGCATTTTGAGACTCAAGTGATAAACACGCAGACACTAATTCTAGACAATTTACCCCCATTTAGTATGATTTATCATACACCGCTGACCACCTACTGGAGTATTCAATTAATAAAGCAGAGCTGCACGCTTGCCAAGTCTATCAATGCCCTTCTCGAACAGACAATTTTCACCTCAATATTTTTTGTGCAAATTCTGTCAAATACTTTACATTTGAGGATTAAATCCAATCAGTACCACTCAGTTGCCAGGACAATACAGTTGCTCTTTATAGTAAAAAACCCCCACATAATTTTCCTTTTACTTAATGAGATAAATGGACAATCACATAACAAAAAACAAATTAAATAACCCTGAATACACTCCTGCTGTGTGTCGAAAAGCTTTTGTTTTAACAGTATAATCTCTACTCCTCATAAGAACACTGTGTAAGTCATTTGCATGAGCTGCATATTGTTAGGTTATAAGCATAATTGGTGTAAGATCATGCACATGCTTATCTCACATGAATCTTTTTTTTTTAATAATGTGAAGAGGTGAAAAAGATACCTTGTGGCCCGAATATGTTGTTACATATGAAGCAACAAACTATCTAATAGAAATAGATAAATAATTAAAATATCACCTTGCTTAATAGTGATGAATATACTGTCTGGGATGTATTTCACTTCAAAAATGGTTAATTTAAAAACTTTTAATCAATGTAATCTAGTAAAACTGAATGTCTCTAAAGTACAAATTAAATAGATTACCAGAGGCTACCACTGAACTTAATCAAAGCATCAAAACGTATCTACATTATGCAGATAACATAGGTCTTTCTGGAGAGAGAGAAAAAGGAGAATGCCACTTTTTTGCAAAATCTCTAAAATGTGTGATTTAGATTTGCAAGCTTAATCACAAAGTGTTTTATGCATTATGTTTTTTTTTTTCTTTCTTTGATTTTTTGCTGAAATAAATGAGTTTTAATAACACCTAACTTCATTGGATATAGAGTTATTATTTAGGCTTAAGTCCTGATTTCCTACTAAAAGAAACAACCTCATCATTGTGATGAAGTGTCTAATTTGCTACAGAGAGTGGCGACAATACCAGACTTTCTGCGTCAAGGACTTTCTTTCTTTGACATTTCCTATTCACCACCCCTCGCTGATACACTGCGTGATCCGCTCTTATGACTCAACTTCAAATTTGCCTCACAAAGGCCAAAAGCCAACGCTTTTAAAGCTCAAACTGCATGGTGAAGGCAGCTACAGTAAGTAAAGGGTAATGACTAAGCCACAACATTTAGCATTGAAGCCCCTGTTGATTTTACCCAACCCTGTATAAACTGAAGAACAAGAAAACCAAACAATGGCCATACTGTGGAAGCTTAGACTGAATGGCCACATATTCCAATATTTATTGGAGAGACAGTCTTTAATTTATGAAGGATCGGTGCGCCAAGGTGACCTAGTGTTTATTAGAGAAAGCGGTAAAAAGCACATTGGACAGATGGGAGGCCACCTGTTAAAAAGCAGTTTCATGACCATAATTTTATTCTGCATTACTTTCAGCCCACCACATCATTTAAATACAAGTTCGCTCTCTAAAAGTTCAGGCTTTTCAAAATGGTCCTCCAACATAAGAGGCCCACTTTTCAAACTAATGATAATTACACCATGTGAAACGCCTTTTATCATGGCATAGTTTTGGATGCAACAAAAAGTTACTCAAATTGACACAGTATTTTCATTTAGAAACATGAAGATCAAAGAAACAGCTCTTTAAAAATCTAGATTAAAACACATGTACCAATTTGATTTTGAAATTTAAAAAAAAGTTATATTGAAATGTCATGTGGTGTATCCATCACATAAAAATATTTTCCTTGAATACCTGCGAGTACATCTAAATAATTATTGGACAAAAGTTACAAAATATAAAACATATATTTTTTGTTTTAATATTCAAGGTAAATATAAATATAAGCGAACTAACAAATTATCAGATATTTTAGGAGACTTGCTGACCTTGACAAACAGCCATGAGGGTCAGCAGGGGTCCCCTGTTTTGTTTCTCTTCTGCATAGACACCATGACTTTGATTTTGCAGGCAAATGCTAAAATATGAAAAAGCTGTGAAGCAGTTTTATTCTCTCTTAGAAATAATAATACAAGATTAAGATGCAAATCTGTTAAATGTTTTCTTTTCAAGAATTCAATGTGTTTAATAAGGCCATTTTTCAGGACGGTTGTATCACCCTGACATTTTTGCCTCACCTAAAAACAAAATAACAAAATAAATTTAGAAATGATGTATGACCTGCATTCAATAGCTGAACCGAAGAGATGCATTATAGCTGAATTTAATTTGTTTCATAATTTATTAATTTAGCAGTATCAACACTTATTTCACTGAATTGAATTGACTCGAGCTGAATAACGACACTATTGTCTTTTTATAGCTGCTTTACAGCAGCATTTGAATTTGTCTCATGTTTGATGAAGTTAGCATCATAGATCCTGTTATCCTGTTCCTGTTTATTACTGTGAAGATGCTTTGAAACAATCTGTATAAAGTGCTATATAAATAAAGATGATTTGACTTTAATGTATTTATTTATTTTTGCACAGTTGCACTAACATGACACTTTTGACTTTATGCATGTATCTTTTATGCATGCATGTATGAATGTATGTATATATAATAAATGAACAGATCTGACAAAAATGATGAGCATCACGTCACAGACCCATACAGACAATAATAAAATAAATAAAACTGATCAGACAAAATAAATAAATAAAAGACAGCAGTGCAATTAAAAAGGTTTTAAGAACCGATCAAAGCTCTTGCTGACGATTGCTTTCGCTTAAACACAGACTGTACTTCATGCATAATCCATAAACTCTTCTCATCTTTGCCTTAAAGCCACATAATAACCCAGAAGCCATGTCTGCTCATAGCTATACAGACAAGCTAGTTTGGGACTCAGTAGTAGGGCTGGGCGATATGGCCAAAAAAAATTATCACGATAATTTTTTTATATCAGTCGATATCGATAATTATCACGATAAATGTCAAATCTTTATTTCTTTCAAGTTTAAAGGCAGATTTTTGCTCCTAAGTGAAAGTTGTAGAAACCAGAGCGTTAATTGTGGTTTTAAACTACTCTTTATTGTCAGAACATATCATGACAAACACTTGCCAAACAGGTGAACATTTCACAAATCTGAGGTAAAACATCATTTGTCATTTTTCCTTAACAAAATAAATATCTGAATAGAAAAATATATTTCTTAGTTTCTGCATGTGCTAATGGGGGATATTGTTAAGTCTTGAAACAGGTTTGTGTTGCCTGACTTTGATGGCACGTATCTTCAGCACAGTTTGCAGTGCAGGCTGCAATATTACTACATGTTTGTCTCGAAATGCATATTTGACAGTGAGTAGACAGTAAATCTGCATCCTAACTCAAGCTAATACTACTATGTTAAATTTATGTTCATTAACAAAAACAGTAACATCTGTTAAAAAAAATGTAACTACCACATTTTTATTTGGTAAAATGTAATATTCTGAGTTTTATTCAAATGAACCTATGGGCATCCAGTATCATGCATTTAGATCATGATAACCACAGATAAAGCCAGGTATAGCCAATAGCACCTCACTATCCTGGCAAAATGTAACTTTATGGTTTCTATGTTATTTGTATGAAAAAAGTAACCTAAATACATTATTAAATACTGTAATTATATTCCATTAGTCATTTAAAACATTGTCTACATTAATAATATAATACAATTCAATATGTATAACCCACATTTCATGGTGCAGTTAATATTACTAGGCTAACCTTACAGTAAATCCATGGTAAATGGATTCAGTATCAATTCAAATTCTGACTGTATCACAGTGTTTCTCCTGTTTGTCAGCGCTGTTTCATCTGCCTTTAAACTGATTTAAATCACTGAGACATTAGTGTTCGTCGCTTTTTCAATCGCTTCTCACTGGATCTCGTGAACGAGGCCGATCAGAGTAAACGCGTCTGCTCTAGTGAGCTCGCGCTGCGCTGCCGTTTGGACTTTGAGCCGAGCAGATAAACAGTCCGTCAGGCGCGCACGGTTCAAATGAGTTTCGTTCCGCTTTTGGCGCATAAACATTATCGAACATTTATCGAACTCTTGATATCGTTTTATCGAGAAACATTATATCGCGATAATTATTGTTATCGTTTTATCGCCCAGCCCTACTCAGTAGTTGAGGGAAATTTATAAGAGAATAATGATCATGAATAATTAGAAGGGTAACGGGTTGTGTATTTTAAATGTGTTTTTCTGCACAGAAAAAGCACCTCATTGGAAACTATTGTTATTTCTGAAAGGCTGGAAGAAAAGTACCCCACATTCTCTAAAAGCTCTCTCTAAGCGTCCTTTCACACCTACCTTTTCAGTTTGATACGAGTAATAATTACAGGTGTGAAACCTCCCCCGGACCACGGTCCGGACCAAACAGACGAAATTTGGTCCGATGAAAAGAGGTAGTCTCGGTCCGGATCAAACTGAACAAAAGTTTGGTTCGTTTGAAAGCATTTTCTGTATGGTTCGGACTTTCAGACCTTTTACAGGAAGTTCCGGTGGTTCTCGCGTAGCCGAAGAAGAAAGCAGAAGATAGCAGAAAAAATGAGCCGTGGTAGCCATGGGGAGAGTAGGAGACAAGGTTTTTAATTGAAATACGGTCGACATACGACATAAGAAGTTTGCTGCTCTCGCAGGATTCCTTGCAGTGTTCTCCTCCTTTCCTGCCGGCGACGATAAAATGTTTGCACAAAGGACGAGGACGTTCATTTGGCGAATTTCAACTAGCCTCGAGTATAGTTGGTGCTGTACAGTATAGTGGCAACGATATACGTCTGTTCAATCATTGTTGTCAAAGTTACCCGCCGAATTGACAACACGCTGACGTCAGACGCACGTCCGTTTACAAACCACTCAATGTCAAGATGCAGCAAGTACACCTGGCTGCAGCCTGCAAATCGGGGCGGGGCTGTACCTGGGGCGTGCAGCCCCGCCCATAACGCTTCTCATTGGTTAGTGGCCCAGTAATGACGTCGACACCACAGTAAACAGGAAATGCGGTTGAAAACAATGCGGTATGTGCCATATCGCGCTGACAACGTATGCCCAGAGCCCGTCTAACGGAGAGCCTTGGCACTTCCTATTAGCCCCATTGTGTATCATATTGGTTGCAGTTCCATTAGAATTCCACTGGAGGTGATCGCGGGCGAGTGCAGAATGAATGGGAGTCTATGGAGCTAAACGACTCTTTCTCCTGCTTGTCGTTGAATCAACATAGATTTTATTGTTGATTCCGCAAGTTCAATATAGGTTATAGTAGAGGTGGGCGATATATCGTTTAGACGATAATATCCAAATTGTTGTCTGGACGATATGCAAAATTGGGATATCGAATATTTCATAATTTTTACAATCCGACCCCCCCCCCAAACATGAAAAGAGCTGAAGGAAGTTAAAGACAAAACAAATAACACTATAACCTTCTAAACTTATTATATGTTGCGATTTTAATACTGTATGGGTTTGTTTGACTCTATTTTATGTGTTTTTACAAAATTACGATCGTTCCTCAATTGCACGAGAGTAAGCTGCTACTAATTTGCAATACAACTAAGTTCTTACCTGTGTGTTTCTAGGTTGAAGCAACAATCCAAAAACGTAAAGAATAAAGCCGATGTACGATTAATAAAATAGCTGATAGAAAAGGCTAAATATGCGGTGTTTGCAGAAAACTGAAGTCTGAAGTAAAAAAGTTTTTAAAAATTGCGTTGTATAATGATGAGTCCAAAAGATGGAATACATTTTCCCAAGAGATCCACCGTAATAGCCTCCGAACAGGGCTTCTTTTAACTTCTAGTAAATAGGTAGTCACATTGTTGTTAGTCTAATAGAAGTACTGTTTGCAAATAGGGGTGTAACGGTACACGTATTCGTATTGAACCGTTCGGTACGAGGCTTTCGGTTCGGTACGCATACAAACCGAACGATTCGTTGGACCATTTTTTCCTGCCGACCAAAATCCGCGTTGGCGCGACCACCATGACGTTGCACAACATCAAATGGCAAACGTAATAAAAGCGGAACGAAACTGTGCTATTATTTTGTGCTTCACGGACCGTTTCAGTTCGGACCATCAATGTCAGTGCAGCGCGCGCCGAACAGGGGCGCCGAATCGTGATGAAGCGACACTGTTATACACAGCGCTAAGAGATCCAGAGAAAACATTAGAATTCGCCACTGAAGTAACGTTACTAATAACATCACTGCGAGATCTAGTGAGAAGCATGCACATTTCTCTGTTATTAACGGATCAAACGTGGAAACCAGGAGAAAATGTTTGCCATGAATGAACTAGTTATAGGCAAATTTACGTTCACAGATCAGCAACATTCACCATGGATTTAATATAGTAACACTAACTGTAACCATGGAAGTTTGGCAGAAATAGTCAAATGCTTTCAGGTAGGCCTACATCACACATCTTTTTCCAGCACTTCAAAACTCAAATATTATCATATTTAAAAGTTATTTTTAATGTGATGATGACCAAAACATTATTTGTTCATCCTTCAAATATGACCCCCATTTATAAAACTAAAGGTTTCAAGATGTAAAAAAAACCTCACACTTATTTAAAAATATTTTTTCTTTTAATAAATAGGAAATTTATCTGTTATTTCTTTCTTTTTGCTGTATCGAAAACGTACATCACTGTATCGTATCGAACCGAACCGTGAATTTTGTGAACTGCCTATTTGCAAAGCACAAAGTAAATTTAATACGTACATATATTGTACTGAAAAAGCACTGTTCTTGTATTACAATAAATATTTAGTACAGTAACTTGGTTCATGTTTAAATCAATTGTCTCATATCTTTATGTACTAGTAATTCTATACAATGATAGGTAAAATGGAGCAAGTCAAAAGACCAACTGGACCTTCTTTGCCAGTTTGCACACATTTCTTTGAAGGATTGCAAAAATATCGTCTGAATATCGATATCGAGATATTGGAAAAAAATATCGAGATATTCATTTTTGTCAATATCTCCCACCCCTAGGTTATAGGCCAAAAGTCGAATGAACGAGTACTTATGTCCTTTCGATTTCTTACAGGTTAGGCCGTTGTTGGCCGGAACACGCTAGCATTCTGCTATTATGTGACGTCATCACATTTTTGAACGGATTTTTAGAACAGATAAGTGAACTTAAAAATGCAATTTTCAGCTGAGTGTATTATCTTAGCCCTCCCTTTTGAATGCAACTTTCAAATTACTTGACAAAAAATTACATCCTGAGAAAAGTGGATTTCTGGGGGTGAAACCCCATAGACTCCCATTCATTCTGCAATCGCCTGCGACTTTCAAGGAGTTTTGTTGAATTTGTATTACTGTTGAATGTAGTTTCATGTTCAATTAAATAAATGTATACTTATTAATAACAATACTGTGTGAGCACTTCAGCACTTTACTTGTGATCTTTACTTGTGATCACTTTACTTGTGATCTCAGTGCAATAGGGCAATGTGCAATATATATACTAGCACCTTAGCATATGCACTTTACATAAACTTCAATACAATGGAGTAATTTGCAACAACCATACTAGCACTTAAGCACCTGCACTTTAATCCATGGAATTGTGCTGTCAATTATGTCTCTTTTTCTTCTGTGTCTATATTTGCTTCTGTTTTTGTTGATGTGTTTTGTAATTTGTGATGTTTTGTATGATGTTTATTTTATGAAACAACTCTGCACTGCGCCCAAGCAAAATTTCCCCTCGGGGACAATAAAGTTAACTCAACTCAACTCAACTCAACTCAATCATATCAAAATAGTTTACATTTAATCAATTTATTCATAGAAAAAAATGTCCTACAATATAACTTTGTATATTGTTACTATTAACTCTTAAATCCTATATTTCTTCTCCTGGTTCAGTTTTGCCACTGTATTTATTTTTAAGGGCCTTGTTTTAACACTATGGGCCCTATTTTAACGATCTGAAACGAAGTGTTAAAGCGCAAAGCGCAAGTAACTTTGTGGGCGGATCCCGGCGCTGTTGCTATTTTCCCGGTGGGATAAATGCCTCTTGCGCCTGGCGCAAATCTAAAAGGGGTTGTCTGAAGTAGCTTCATTATTCATAGGTGTGGTTTGGGCGTAACGTGAAATAAACCAATCAGAGCGTCATCTCACATTCCCTTTAAGAGCAGGCGCGCTTGTTCTAAAGCGGATTCCTATTATAACGGCGGATTTGCCAGGCGCGCGCCAGGAGCGGTTCACAGCCGAGGAGAGCAACGTTCTCGTCAGGGCCGTAAAACACAGAGAAGTGACATTGGGGATGGAGAAACCCACACAAATTAACTTCTGTTAAACAGGCGTATGATAATTTGGGTAAATGTGTAAGCTACATGTATGCTTTTATAATAAATTGTCTATCTATCTATCTATCTATCTATCTATCTATCTATCTATCTATCTATCTATCTATCTATCTATCTATCTATCTATCTATCTATCTATCTATCTATCTATCTATCTATCTATCTATCTATCTATCGTAATAATGTATGATTTGCAAAAATGAAAACTGCTGCTTAGATGAGAGAATCAAAGTGTATGCGCGTTGTGCACCCGCTACATTGATTATGGCCATGCATGCGCACTTAAAATAGCATTATGAACAACGCGCAACGCGCCACTGACTTTAGACTAGGTTTTTTCTGGTCAGTGGCGCAATTGTTTTATAGAACAGCAAAATAGCATGAGGGAAAGTTTGGGCCGGAACACGCCTCCTCTTTGCGCTGAACCGCCCCGGGGAGCGCAAGTGTATTTCTTAGTTAACCGACGTGTGTCTGTGGAGGAAAAAGCCCGCTTTGCGCGGGTGCAAAATAGGAATGATACATGCGTCAGTGTACTAAGTAATTTGCGCCGAGTGCAAGATAGGGCCCTATATCCTAATCCCACTAAAACCACACCACACACACCCGCACTAAATATAGACACACACAGACAGACAGGCAAACACACACACACACACACACACACACACACACATACATACATATATATATACTTGGCTTACGATGCTTTTGGGAAAAGCTGCCCTAGTTATTTGTGTGATATGGTGAGTAAAGTTACACAATCTTATTTTTACACCACTTCATTTTAACATCACACTAAACGCCACTTCAGAATTAAAAATTGTAAATAAAATTAGAACAAAAAAAGAGTAGCTTGCCTGTACTCGCCATGCAGCGATGAACAGCGGAAATAAAAACATGCTAGAATCGACGTCATGAGTTCACGCCACTGACCAATGAGAAGATATGTTGGCGGGAAGAGACGTGCAGCCCCGCCCCAGATGCGGCCCCGCCTTGATCCACGTCATCACTTTGCCACTAACCAATGAGAAGCATTGTGGGCGGGGCTGCACGCCCCAGGTGGGGCTAACCAAAACTTACCGAATGTATAAAATGTATCAAAACATGAACCTTGGTGCGGACTTTCAGGTGTGAAAACACCCTAAAAGGAACACAGGCTGACCCGATATATAGGCCCAAAAGTTTTCAAAAACTTTTACACTTAAAGTCACTAAATGTTCCATATCACTGTCATAAAGTTCCATATCACTGTCATAAAAAAAAAATACCAGGAACTTCAGTGAGGTAACATGTTATAAAATGACATAAGTGAACTTAAAAGGGCATCATCTGGACTGTACAAAGGTTGACGATGAAGGTTAATGCAGTTATTGGCTTTGGGATTTTTTTCCTATCATGTCTTTTCCTCCAATAAGAGTGGTCTTCAGTAAAAGGCCACAGAGCTAATTGAAGGTTTTGATAGGCCATATACCTCTGCTTCCTGCAACACTGACAGCACAGGGCAGCTACTGAGGCCGTGTAATTGGACCCTTTTAAAAAAGGAAGAAATAGTCTCGCGGGAACATGAAAGGCAGAACAGAAGATATCATAAGACAAAAAAAAATCCCCTTATGCAGAAAAAAATACTCGTTTTAAATATTCTTAACTGTGCCAGTTTGTAAAAATTTACTTGGAAGAAGTGTGTGTGGAAGAATTTTCTTAACAATAACCATAAATATAGCAAGCATCAATAACACAGCCAAGCACAGAAGGGATAAGACATACATTGCAAAACTGTGACGGTTCACGAGTTGTCACATAGAACTTATAACAAGTATAAAAATGACAAATGACAAAATGATTCCAGCGTCAAAACCTAATTATTTGTGTGCCAGGCAAAAGTTGGCAGACAAAAAAATTATACTTTTTTTCAGCAGGGATGCATTAATTTGAGCAAAGGTGACAGTAAAGACTTTTACATTGTTAACATCCTTTTAAAACTTCCTATTCTTCAAAGAGACTTGAGAAAATCAAGCAGCCACAACTGCTTTCAACTGTGATAAAACTCTCGGAAAAGTTTATCATGGTAATAGACATGGCAATGTTAAAGGTGCTCTAAGCGATGTCATGTGTTTTTTAGGCCAAAACATTTTTTGTCACATACAGCAAACATCTCCTCACTATCCGCTGGCTGCCTGTCCCCTGAACACACTGTAAAGAAACGCGATCTCTGTAGACAGCCCATGCTTCACAAACAGCACCAAAAACAAACTGCAGCGACCCGCTCCCCAAAACATAACAAACTGTTCCAGCCAATGACCGACAAGAAGGGTTTGGGGGTGTGGTTTGGGGGGTTAGTGTGCGGATGAGGAGGAGGGAGGGTCTAGCTAGCCTCCGTTTTGTTTGACAATAGTTCGAACGTCAACAAGAAGTGACGTCACCCAGGATCGCTTAGAGAACCTTTAATGTATTTGGTCTTGACGGAATAATTCTGCTACGTTGCTGCTGCTGCAGAGTAAGTAAAGAGACGTACTACTACTGCCAATACATACACAGACATGCTGCTGCTGCACAAATAGCATATATGGAATTGCCCATAGCAGATCTATATAGGTGGAGCTGGGGAAGTGGAGGGTTTCAGAGGAATTTGGTACATCAAACACTGACCAACTGTTTAAATGTTGAGCTGCAAACTCATTGGCTGCAGATGCAACAGGAACGAATCAGCTTGTGCCGTGTAGTTAATGTAATTATCAGCATTAACATTTACTCCACTGGCCTCTCTCTACTCATAGCTCTAAGCCCCGCCCTGATCCTCAACACATACACTATACTTTATTTATTTTTAAAAGCAAGGCCATTTTTGGCCACTAAGAAACATGCTGTCAAAAAGATTATTATTTTTTTATATATAAAAAAAATGAATTAATCAAAATCAGGCAATATACCAAGCCTTATGGTGGTAGTTGGGAGTTCACTAAAATCACTAATGCTCTGCTCATTGATTCTGCGAAACTCTAATACGGTTCAGTAACATAATCCCATGGGAGCAAAGAGACTGCATGGCGTCAAAATGGAACAGCGACATACAATTATCCAAAATCACATATTACCCCAAATCCAAATAATGCAGTTTTCGACATTCAAAGCAAACTGTTCATTAAGAAACAACTCTTCAACTGCACAGCTTTTGCACAAAGCCTAATTAAATTCCCCAAAGCGCTCAGTTGTCACGCAAAGAGCTGTGGGGAGAAAGAGAGAGAGTGTGAACACCAGATATAGCACTATAATTGTGGTCCCACTGGCTGGTACCTCCCAGCTGACTGCAGAGGCCAAAAACTACAACATAATCTGGGCAGAGGTGTGATGTACATCATTGTAGCAATGCAGCAGAACCACTGATTGCGAAGGCCTCCAAAGCTAGTTAATGTTAAACACAGGTGCAACTGCATCTCTGATAATGCACATTATTCAGAGGGGCATTGTCGACTGAAGAGAACTTTCTGGTACAGGCCAACACAGAGACGAGAGCCAGACAGACGGCAATTAGAAGAGTCAACATTGCCTAAATGTAACAAGCTGCAATTTGAGCTCACACACTCGAGTCTCCCTGGAAAATGGCTAAAATGAGTCTGGCTTCAACATGATTTTGAAATAACTATCAGGGGAGCTGGTCGAACGGTTAGATGGGCCAACACAATCAGGTGCTGTCTGAGAGAGGTGGATTCACAGGCTTTAGACTCATTTGAGGCTCTAAGACAACAACGCATTCCTTATAAAGACAGCAGGAGTTGGTTACTCTTCATAAATCATACTAAGAGAGCACTTGACAC